CTACGACTCCGGTAGGCGCCACCACGTTTTCAACTGCTGCTGGTGGAGAGAGCACGCCATCTACCACCGAACCTGCCACCACCACGCCTGGGGCCACTACGGAGGCCAGCACCTTGTCAACTGCTGCTGGAGGCAGCAGCTCACTGGTAACCACGTCTATTCAATCCAGTTTCTCCTCTACCATTCCTGGAGGTGCAAGCAGGACTTCAACCACTCCCGGTGGAGAAAGCACACCATCAACCACTCAGCCTGCCACCCCCACACCTGGGGCCACTACTGAGGCCAGCACCCCGTCAATTCCTCCGGCGGGTACCAGCTCACCAATAACCACGTCTACCCAGGCAGGTTTCTTCCCTACCACTCCTGGAGGCACCACCACACCTTCAACTGCTCCTGCTGGAGGAAGCATGCCATCAACCACCGGGCCTGACACCCCTACACCTGTAGCCACTACTGAGGCCAGGACCTTTTCAACCCCTGCTGCGGGCACCAGCTTACCAATGACCACGTCTGCTCAGGCTAGTTCCTCCCCTACCACTCCTGAAGGTGCCACCGTGCCTTCAACCTCTCCTGGTGCCGGAAGCATGCCATCAACCACCAGCCTTGCCACTACCACACCTGGGGCCACTACGGAGGCCGGCACCCCATCAGCTCCTCCTGTTGGCACCAGCTTACCGGTGACCATGTCTACTCAGGTCAGTTCCTTTCCTACCGCTCCTGGAGGGGCCACCACGGTTTCAACTGCTCCCATTGGAGGAAGCACGACATCAACTACCGAGCCTGTCACCAGCACACCTGGGGTCACTACTGAGGCGAGCACCTTGTCAACCCCTCCTGCGGGCAACAGTTCACCGGTGACCACGTCTATTCCGGGCATTTCCTCCCCTACTGCTCCTGGAGGCTCGACCACATCCTCAACCACTCCTGGTGGAGGAAGCACTCCATCAACCACTCAGCCTGCCACCAGCACACCTGGGGCCACTACCCAGGCCAGCACACCAGCAACTGCTCCTGCAGGCACCAGCTCACTGGTGGCCACGTCTACTCAGGCCACTTCCTCCCCTATCACTCCTGGAGGCGCCACCATGCATTC